CATACGTTTTCTCATTATGATGGTGTTGCAGCGAACAAAAAAGATGGTAATTTGATGGTGCCATATCTGGAGAATATTGTGGGTGGGGGATAACTTCCCAGCCCAACTCCATAATCGTGTGTTGCATCAAATGTGCCACATGTGGACGTGCATTGTTATGGAGAAAAAAAAGTTCTTTTCGATTGACGAGTGAAGGGCTTGATTTAAATGTTCCAGTTGTTGACTACAGATCTCTGCATTGACAGTTCACTGTGAATTGAGGAGTTTGAAATGAATTATTCCTTTGATGTCCCACCAAATGCAAAACATCACTTTCTGCGGATGGAGTCCAGGTTTTGGGGTCGGAAGTGTTTTTTTTTTTTTCTAGGACTATGCCATTGTTTTTGGGGTATAATATTTGCATATAGAATCTATTTTTCATCACCGGTGACAGTTCTGTCCAAAAATAGTCCACGTGCATTACGTGCCAGAAGAGACGAAGCAAATTTCACACATTGGAAACGATGATCATTGGAAAGTTCATGAAGCACCCAAACATCTTTTTTTATGGACTTTTCCCATATTCCTTAGATATTTACATATTGATTCATGAGAAACATGCAATTTCAGGGCCATTTCACGAGTGTGTGTTGCCTTGGGTTAGACTCAACAAGTGCCTTCAGAGCATCAATATAAATTTCAACATGTTGGCTCCTGCCATCACAGTTTTTAAGGCTCAATTTGCTGCAACATTGTTGACACTTATGAACAATCAAAACATTTCCATAAACTTCTTTGATATTCTTTATGGCTACAGAGGCATTGTTTCCCTTCTTGTATTCAAACAGCATTACATGCCAAATGTGTGTCTCATTGTGTGCCATCACTATAAGTGATTAGAGTACACTAAACTTTACACATTATATAGGCTACACTAACGTGACATTTAGGTGGTTCATTTAACTATTATACATAATGTACATTTTTTGGAGGTGGTTAATGAAAGCATTCCAAAATGCGACATTAATTTTTTGACAACCTAATACTTTTTGGTCAGTCACATGCTAACATTGGCGCCTCTCCTTTCATCTTTCATATGAAAGGATAGTAACTAAAACCTATGGTAGAGGTATCGTTTTTAAAAAATTCAGTGTAGATGGTTTGTTATATGATAGTATTTACAAAATACTTTAAATATTAACAGTCAGAAAGTGGAAAAATGTTGTGAATTAGTGTACATAAAACAAAAGTGGTTGTCCAGTACATTTAAAATTTTGTACTGTGATATATTTTTTATGTGGTACTTGCAACATGGTTGGGGGAGTTTAAGAGAGGGCTTCATGAGTATTTAGAGTCAGGGCTGGATAGAGGCAAATGAGTGTTTCATGAACTGAATAGGACATCCATAAGGGACCCCTTGTTGTTTCTCAAATGTTATGTTAAATAGACTATTGAAGTAATAACTCATATCATGCAGTGAAAACATTAAAACTATCATATAAATGCACTTAATTAAATTGTCAACAAATTACATATAACAAAATTAACATGTTATACTTTTCATTACAGATTACAAGAACATAAGCTATTTTATAAATTTAAACTATTGCATATAACAAAGATTGGTATTGTTTTTTAGGATATTCAGTTTTTATAGTATGCTTTCATTCAAACCTAAGCAGTTATACCTTATTTATTATTGTTATGTAACTAGATTATGAGTATATATTAAATCTTTTATTGAAATAAATTTCTGACAAATTATAATTTCAGTATGTGGTTTGTGAAGTCTTCTACACAGAGATATTTGTATATTACAGATGTATTTACACATCTTTAAGATATTATTTGTATGTGTTTAATAATTTGAATAAAAACTGTTTTGTGAAAAGACTTTTAGCATGATTTAACAAGTAAAATTTCTAAAATAAATTTCTGTATAAATATTTATATTTTCATGAACCTATTGTGTCATCTCAACTTAAGCAAAATTTGTTTTTTAAAAGTTTTTTTTTTTCATTTTTACAGAATACCAAAATCAAACACACTATATTGGGTGTACAATTGGACGTGTGGCTAATAGAATATCAAATGGAACATTCAGAATTGGAAACAAGGAATACATTCTTGAAAAGAACAATGGTCCCAGTCATCTTCATGGTGGAAGTCATGGTTTTAACAAGGTATTTTAGTGGATCTTCAGGTTTAGTTACTATACATCATAAAAGGAGTATTACATTAATGGTATTTTCCTTATGAGCATGTAAGGGAAAAAACTAGAACTTAATTTTTTTTTAAATGAATATATATCATTTATTTCTTGGTACTGAGTTTGCCAGGTTTTTACAATTGTGTGTTAGTTATAGCAGTTAAGATTGGACTATTAGCTTTTATAATTGTAGGTACAGTTAAAGTTATGACATTAGGCTTAATGCTAAATCATTAGGTCAATCTGTTGTTTTTAGGTAGTTGTACTAGTGTTAGGTTATAGACTTACAAGATAGTAAAGTTATTAAGCAGTTGATTGAAATAATTATGACAAATGTTAGCGAAGTAAGAAGGAAAACTTAATTATTAGTAGCTGTTGAATGATGGAAAGAATGTGAACATAGTTTTCTTAGATTTTTAAAAAGGCTTTTAATAAGGTGCCGTATAGAAAATTAGCTTGAAAAACTTTCACAGGTAGGACTTGTATTGTAGTATAGTTGAATGAAAGATGGCAAAATTTCTTTATTAAATGGAGTTATTAATAGAGTCCATAAGTGTCCAGCACTTTGGCCTTTGTTGTTTTTTTATTTACTTTAATAATATTGATAGGGGAATAATTATTAAAATTTGCTGCCGACATTAAATTCTTGGATATTTCATGTTCTATTGAAATTGTTGAGGTACTGCAGAATGACTTGGTAAGTTGAACATTGAACATCCATTTGGCAAATGACGTTTAATTATAACAAGTGCAGGATAATGTATTTCCTGGATCGATCATTCAGTTTTTCACATTGTTATAAAAGAACTACTTGTGCCTATTCATGGATTAGGGGGATACAAGATTCCCTCCGGTTTTATGAACTTGTGGTGAAGACCGTATAATCCTCTTTCCTGCCCCCACCAGATGGCTGGGTTTTGGATTATAGATGACTTGCTGCCAGTTTGATCCTCTTTCCTATCCCCCACTTGGATGTCAGTACCCGGTGGCCTGGATTTTGGATTGTAGTCGAGTTGCCAGTGGTATGCTTCTCTTTCCTACCCCCACATGGATGTCAATACTCAGTTTCCAGGTTTTGGATTGTAGTTGGCTAGATGCTGGTATGATCCTCTTTCCTGCTCCCACTTGGATGTCAGTACCCGGTGGTCTGGGTTTTGGATTGTAGTCAACTTGCCAGCTGTATGATCCTCTTTCCTACCCTCACATGGATGTCAGTGGCCGAGTTTTTAACTTTAGTTTACTTGGCAATGGTATGTTCCTCATCCTACCCCCCGCATGGATGTCAGTTCCTGGTGGCATGGGTTTGGGATGTAGTTGAATTGCTATGTACGGTCTGTGCACCCTAGCCATTCTTCATCTAGGGACACATCCTTTAATCTTACCCACTTTTATGTTTTTCGGGATTGAGTTTCATAACTTTAATATATAATGTATGATTTGGATCACTATCCTACCATAGTTCTCTCCCTTTTGGATGTGCCTCTTCAATTTTCCACTCATTTATGCTACATCTTTCTACAAGAATAGCTATTTATGTGAAAGGAGGTAAGTACCTATCGGAAATACGATTTCAGTATAGGAAAATTATAACTAATTACGAGTTTTTCCTAAGGAGCCTGATAAACAATTTCACAAGCTTTATATAAAACATAAATAACTAACTTAGTCACCTTAGTATGTCCTTTATTTTTCAAACTCATTGCCATATTTCTTCTGTTTACAATGATGGAAAAATGACTTAGAGTACTTATTGATACCAAATTGTGATATGCAAATCATCAGCATTCATTTAGAGTGGGTTCTCCACTTTCATATATTGTCATTTTCTTCACATACTCTTTTCTTTTTGATTGTTTCCCTTTTTATATAATTGTTTACTCTATATATCTTTGTCTTGATGGTTTAACTGATACAACAATTCCATCATGACCATACCCTCATTGAGAACACACACTGCTACTTTGAATTTGCAACTTATGGCAGGAAGTCACATATCTTGTATATCTTGCTCTATATCACTCCTGAAAAAAGTAGTTCATTTGTCATTTTACTCACTTTGCTTTTGATTTCAAAAAAGAAAAAAGATGAATTTTAGGGTTAGGCTTTTTTAAACAGCATTTTCACGTCCATTTGACTCGTGAATTGGATGTAAAAGGTTTAACATATAACTTATAGTCAAAAATGTATTTTGGATTTTTAAATAACTGTTGTTGTCAGTTTAAAACCATATACTTTTCAGTTACATGATGTTTGCATTCTGCTGTTAAATTACCAATCAAGCAAGTAACAATAGTCTCAAAAGCAAAACCTGTAAATACTGCAACACTTAAAGCTATTATTGATTGTGCAGAATATGTCAGTCTCGAAGATACTTCTTTCATAAACAAGAAATACAAATATTCAATCTATCATATGAAAGAAGAAAATTAATGATAACAATAAATTATTTAATAAGCTGTTCTTTTTTCGAATATTTTAAGATCAAAACCATACACATCATTTGGTTCTAATTCCCAATTATTGCCCGTATAATTGAAACAGAAACCCCAGTTGTTTACCAATAATTAAATATGGCAAAACCAAATTCAGGTAAAAATAATAGTCAAGGTTAATCAACACTTAGAACTGGAGTCATCTGTGTAATAAAAAGTGATTGTGTTTTGAAAAACATCAATTATACAACAGGAACAGTGAATTAAATGATATTGCTAAAAAAATGCTATCAGCCTATTTTAATTGACCCTATCACCCTGGGTATCCTTTACTGTGCATGACACAAGGTGTTAGTGTCTTACATCAGAAATGTTATTAAGCTACTTTCTGTATATG